AGTGGTTCGTTAAGTATACATTACAAATCTACATTTACAACTCAGAACGAGTCTTTCTTTCCTGTTTATTTTTTTTCTCATCGAAGGCGACTAGTTGGCTTTTGCTTGCTATATAAAATGAAGACCGGGCAAACGTACGAGTAAAAATTCTATTCGATTACTCGTAGCACATGTAAACCAAAGAGAGCGCCTTCACGTCCGCTCATGAGCTTTCAATTTGAATACTCACCGTGGACTCCACAGAAGCTTCGGTTGAATCCCTGTGCGTTTATATGGCTGACGTTCTTCGCATCCGTCCCATGGAACAGAAGTCGTTCGCTGTTTCCTCCACAGTCCAGCTCAATTTTTTGTTTCCTCACCATGTAAGCTTGCCACAGATGAGGATTCTGCACTTGTTCAATCTTCTGAATTCTTAATACTCTTCCAGAACCGTTAATCTAGCGCTCGACATCTTTGTAATCAGAAGAGTCTGGTAACAGCACCACTGTGTGCACAGTCATGTCAGGTCGGGGCATTGGTTTCCAGTGTCTTGGTAGGGGAAATCCTAGGAACAAGAAAAACTGACTTGATCTTGCACGAAAAGTAAAAATAAGCGAGAGTGCTTTCCTTTATTTATACTTCAGAATCGCGACTTCGACGAAAAACTGGTCCCTATTTAAAGACTTAAAAACTACTTTTGGTGCCATAAAATTTTTTGGATTTTCTGTCACATAGAGAAGGGAAATACTAATTCGTGTCGTCACCTCATCGAAAGGAATCTTCTTAGCAGGCTAGTCTTACTGCACAATTACTCCTAAGTTCTGAGTTGAAACAAGAGAAAAAAGAAAGCAGTGACTAGCTAACCTTTTATCTTTCTCGTCAGAGTTATTTGATCTCCTGACTGTTGTCCGCGTCCAATATTTTTCGTCAAATCTATGAGGAACTGCTCTCCTGCCAAGATTACCCGTGTTTTTGATTTTCCTTCATTGTGCGCCATCTCAATGATGGCGTTTTCCCACTGATTGAAAACCATTTTAATGCCCTTTCTTTCGTAGCCCCATTCCACACTTTTAGATAACAGATGATCCTGTTTTTTCTTCTTTATCTTGTCGAACTCTTTCATGATCTCCACAACCATCTTGATCACCTCCGTAGATTCACCTTGAACCAGAATACGATTAGCAATATCTTCCACTTTAAATTTCAAGTCACGGGCATCAGCTTTTTTTCTCAGGGTCTCAATCTTTCTAAGGGAGAGCTGACTGACCACGTCGCTCTCCACCTTTTCTGTTGTCAAAGCCTTAGAGAAACATTTCGTCATGTATTTGATAGCTTCTGTGACGTTTTGCTCTTTGCCTGCGACACAGATATCTACACAGTTATGCACGTTAACTCTAAAGCGACTATCTAAACGGATGCGTTGGGTTGCGATTTCCTATGTGATATGCTGAAATGCCTGCATCATTTGGACTTGAAAGATAATAATCCTTACTGTGTGCACAGATTTAAAACTTTTGCAGCAGTTGTTCAGTGCTTGGTATATCACGTTAGCGGAGTCTACAGCAGACATTTGGAATCCTCCAGTTCCAACAGCGGGGATGGAAACGGAGCCAAGACCATGTGTTTCTGCAAGCTGAAGACACCTTTCCAAGCACTGTTGGAGATGGTCTTTATTTGCTGAGTCGGATATAAGGTGTATTATGTGGTTTGATGGTAGCTTTCCACCAGTGGTCATCACCGCTAATCCACACGGTTGCTGTTGGAACTTATTCAACTCATCTTGTATCTGCTGGCCGCCCAGCACCTTTATCGTCTTGCTCACCATTCCGGCTTTGTCCATATTCAAGTCCCTGCGGACGATATTCACAATGGCGTCCGTTTTCTCCTGGCACAAGTCACCGTGAACCACTTCAATAAGCACGGGAGTCTTTTTTAAGGCCTTATGTACGTTTTGGTGAACTCTTAATTTGTCCATCTCTTGTTTGAAAGCAGCAGTTAAGGCTTGATCTTGCTGGTAAACAACAAATCGAATATCCTGCGTAGATGATGTGGGGTGAGCTTCGCAGAAGGTAATTGCTTCTTCCAACATTAGTCTAGAGGCTACATTACTGGGGAAGTTTAGTTTGCCGGTACCTATTACAGGAAATGCAATGGACGTCGCTCCTAGCTCTTCACTTTTCTCCAGACACTTTCGAACAAGTCCCTGTAATGTCTACAAGGAGATGAAACACACATTAGTTTGAAAGCTGCATGGATCTTTTTACGTCTATGAAGTGCAACTTATCCATTAAAGAGTCTAATCTCACGGTGTCCAACTTCATTGAAACTAAAGGTTGCCTCGTGCAACAGCTCAATAGAGCCTGATTGGACCAATCCAATTACTATTAGGGAACCCCGAGCCGTAACACTTTAACAGTCACTTTCAACCCTCAAACGTCAAAAGGAACAGATTGGATACCTACCTTTTCGCCTCGGCTTCCATTCCAAGCGCAGCACTGGATGTGGATTACGTGACTGACGGAGGCAAAACCACCAGATACCGTGACGTCACCAATCTTTGGAGATGCTACTTTTGGACCACCAGCCTTAATGATTGCCCGAGCACATGCTCCTTGGGAACTGACCAATAAATCAGCCTGAAATTCAAGTAAATGGTATTTTACGTTTTTGAAGGTCGTCAGGACTTTCCGGAAGGCCAAGAAATATATTTGAAGTGTTTTGCAGGAGCGATATCGCCATTTTCAAAAAGAGCTTGTGACCTAACTATCCGTAAATGAAGAAATAGCAGAACATGCTATTTAGGTGATGTCTTAATTCCGTTTTCTAATATGAATAAACTAGTTTAAACAACTCACACCTTCTCTGCCTCAATGTTTCCTATTTTCCATGATATTTTATGTCCATGTTTTGTTTGCAGAGGGGAATCGTTAGCTACAGAGGTGCGTACTTCACCTTCATTTTCATCATCACCATTAAAATCGTCGCCTTCTTCGTCCTCTGCGCCATTGCAGCTATCTTCTTCGTCTTCATACTTGGTATTAGCTGCTANAAGGTAACACCATACTAGGACGCTGCGAACGACAGTGCGAAAGGGAACTTGGAGAGTCAACTGTCAACCATGCATTGAGGGACCTACACCCGGACCCAAATGGAAAAGTACTGCCATATTGTATTTTTGTGGCAAGAATTAATTTCATATAAAATACACCTTTTGCTGTTCATTACCAGAAAATATACTTTCATTTATGCCAAAGGTTATATCAATAAAGTAAATAAGTTTTTCATTAACTCTAGAATACATTTCATTAGTGTTGATCGAACTTTCAATTTGGATATTTGAATATGTATTGATATTCAATAACGTTAACTGACCAACAAATGCGCTCTCAGACATTTCTAGCGGGAACTTTCTGGTCATTTACATCACAATATACTTCAATAACACCAACCAACTAACAATTGCATTTGTTGACAAGCATTCATAAAGAATAGAAAATTCATTTGCGTAATTATCATAAAGATTGACAATCTATTGTGCGAATACAAAAGCATTAGCATTAATGTAACATTCTCTTGGGTGACTGGACTTGAATTGCATGTTTTACATAAATGATAAGAGAAAAAAGTCAATCGATGGCGCTTTACTTGTTCGTGAAAAAATGTTCTCACTAAAACGAAATTTATCCTTCTATTACTAAACAAGACTTCATCTTGATCCGTTTGAACAAGTTGTATTCATCTACGAAGGCGCACCCGCTCACCATAACCCAGGCAGTCCTGGGCCCAACACTGAGCTTAACAAGTTTCCCCCTTATAGTCCCTTATAGCAATTGTGTTAAACGGAAAGCAGCTTTCAATCAAAATCCACCAAGAATTTCTTGAAGATGAAACCCCTCAAACGATTCAACAGAAGGAGACGGTGGAAACCCACTGGAAGTAGATCTCTCTCAAAGAAAATGAGGAACGTGATAGAGTATTCGATACCACTCAAACGATTGAACAGAAGGGGACAAGGGAAGCTTACTGGAAGTAGGCCTCTCTACATGTTTCCAAAGAACACATAATCTTGCTGAAGAAAATAAAGCTTGCGGATAAACTAGCAGACGAGAGCAAGGAATTAGAAATCAAGATAGAAAAAGAAAAGGAGGAAGTCCATTTCGCAGGACCCCAAGAACAGTTTATTGAGGCAATATCTGAGTTTTCCAATCAAATGAAAGGCATAGATGTGAAAGAACTTAGTTTATCTGCTAGAGTTTTGAAAGTCTTATGTTCCGAAGAGGGGATTCAAAAAGTCAATCATGAGTTGGAAAGCAATGAGGTTGAGGCGATCTGTTTCATTGACAAAGACGCCAAGATTGTGGGAACGTCAGCTGCACATGTAGACGCCGCTGAAAAGCTCGTGAACGAGTTGATGCTGGAAAAACAAGTTAAAGTGGATGCTAAGAGTGATCATTTGCTAAAGTCAACTGACTGGATCAAGATATGCGATGAAATCAATGCAAAATCAACTGTCTGTGTAGNNNNATTTTTTGGTCTTTCACCTTCTTTACCGTCTTGCATCTCATAGTAAACTTCAAGGGACAGCGGTTTTCCATGTGAAATCAGTGGTTTTTCTCTGTGTAAGGCTAAGACTCTTTGCACATCTGTCAAGATGAAGGGAAGTGGTAAGAAGTGAGTGGTCTTTTGGCCTTAAAATAATTCTTAGTAGGGTACCACATGAGTAAATCCATATGGCAGTAAGTGAATGAGTGAATCGATTAACTAATCAGTTAATGGGTCAATTAGTTATTCAATCAGTCAAGTCGTCTATCATTCAGTCAACCAATCCTTCAATCGATTCATCGAAGCTGGTCTCCACATTTTAAAGTTCTTTTAAGCATTAGTTCATTTTGGTTATATTCAGAGAGATAGGACTGTACCCAAGTTAGTGAGTGAAGCAAATTTCGTGAAGCATTGTCAGTCGAGTGTTATCAGTTCGATTCGTGTATACAGATTGATCAGTTTTGCCGTGAAGTTATAGGCTGTAAGACTCACGTTAGGTGAACTTGTTTTATTCTCTTTTGTTTTGCGGCGAAAAATGTCGTGAAAAAAGTCGTTTGTATGGTGCTAGTGGAATTTGACATCCTTTGAAGGGATTCTGTTTTGCGTTACTGAACCAGCTCTCCAGAGTCAGTCGTGCAAAGTAGTTAGTGCTGTGGTATAGGTTAGCGAGTTACTATTACTGTGTAATGCAATGTTTGCTGCGATTTGTCTGGTTTTGTGTTAGCTTATTAGTTGCAAATGACTTGACGTGACTCTGACTTCTAAGCCATTCGAAGCTGGGGAGACATTTCATTTTCCATCTCGCTGCTGACATACACTCAA